GCCCACGTTCACGCTCAGCGCCGAGCCCTCGGCGCCGCCCTGGGTCTGGGCGGCGGTGGCCGCCTCCGGCTGCTGGCTCTCGTCGGCCGGGTCGTCCTTCCACTGCTCTTCTTCCTCCCCGTCTTCGTCTTCCTCGATGTAGTAGTTATAGTTGCCCTCGGTCCAGGCCGGGGTGCTGGCCTGGGAGCCGGAGCGGGCCGCCAAGGAGCTGGTGCTCCCGGGGTGTTGGTGGCTGATCCCCGAATCGGGCGCGTCCTCGCGCTCGGCGGTGTTCCAGGGCCTGTAGCTCCAAGACCGCCTCCTCTCGCTGTTTTTTAGCATGGCTTTGGGGAGCGGACCCCTTGCTTTTCCTTCCTGGCCGTCGTAAGGTCTCCCGCCGGCTCAGTGGCGCTAGAAGGATGGATGATAAGCCCCACACTGCCTTAGAGAGGACCACGGGCCAGAGCCCTACGCATCGCCCCGCGAGTGGCCCTCCCGGGCAGCGCAGCCCAGGCTGCTGGGTCTGAACACGCGCAGACGGCTGTTGACTGCTCTAATCTTGCTGAGACGGAAGGAGCCGGTCTTAGGAGGGATTTAGAACCTCTTAGCAGCCTGTTTCCTCCCTGTCTCTCTCCACTCTGTGACCCAGGGGATGATTATGTGGTTTTAAGCCTGGCAGCAGAGATTATTGCTAATAAAAATGTGGGCCACGCATGAGGCCTTCCCTAAGGAAGTGTTGGTGTACCTATGCTGAGATGACATCAACTGAATTAGCGGTAGAATATAGCTCAGTTTCCGTGTGGAACTCGTTGTCTCCCTGTTTCTCTCTTTCTCACCCTCTGTTCTCTTAAAGGTAGAATCCCAGGACGTGTGGGTAGATGTTCTTAGGGTCTGGCACCCCTGCTCAGCTGCTGTATTAGGCCATATGTGAAGGTGACCCAGACTTCCTTCCAAGGAAAAGGTCTCCAACACTCTTCAAGACATGACTTTTTTTAAAAGTCTCTTTTCGTATGGAAGGCACTGTGCTAGATGCTGGAGATGGAAACTCAATGGAGACACAGTTGTAGCCCTCAAGTTGCTCATGGTTTTAGAGGTCATATAAAGATGCAAGCTCAGTAACAGAGCAAGTGAAAAATACGGGAGTATTAGAGAAGAGCAAGGGATTTGCTTTAAGTAAATAATTTGTTTTGAACTTCAATTTATTTTGATTAGCTAATATGTGTTTATGAGATGAAATTCAAAAGGTCCAAAGGTGCATTAAGGTAAAAATTTGCTCGCTCCCTCAGCCCCAACCTGCAGCTATCAACTGTGCCTCTGAGGAGGCGACCACTGTTAGTGCTTCTTGGTTAGCTTTCAAGAAACATTCTAAACACATACAAGCAAAAACCCATCTCTGTCTATCATCTGAATAGCTCTTTGTTATTAACACAAATCATAGTCTGTAATACACTTTGCTTTTTCCAATTAACCGTATGTCTTGGAGGTATTTTATATCTGAACATAAATATCTGCCTCATTTCAAAAATATCTCCTTGGTAGTCTGATAGTGACAGACAGTTTATCTTTGTTCTCGTAAGCAGTGGTGCAATGAATAACCTTATACATACATTACTTTATATATATTAAGATATAAGAAGGATAAATTGTATGAGGTGGAATTGCTAGATTAAAGACCTCCCATTTGTAATTTTGATAATGCCAACTTTTACTCATAAAAGTTTACCAAATCATAAGTCGCCATCAATGTATGAGAGCATATCACATTTCATGAGCTCTTCTCATTTTATAGGTGAAAAATGTGTGGACTAATTTTATGTTTCTCTTATGAATGCATTTGAACATCTTTTCATGTGAATAAGAGTTGTATTTCTTTTTCTATTTTCCATTGAGTTGTTGGTATTTTCTTATTGATTTGCAGGAGAGCTTTAAATATCATGAAAACAGACCTTTTGCCTGTGGCAGGAACTACAAATATTTTTTTTTTTCTGAGTTTACTTTATGCCTTCTGGGTGTATGTCATATTAGAAGAGCCTTCACCTCTCTGTCATTCTTTAAAATTTTTCTTCTTGTGGTTTCATTTTTCACATTTAAGGATTTGCTCTACTGGGAATTCATTTTGATGTAAAGAGGGAAGTAAAGACTGAACTTTATTTTCCAGCTTTTTATCTGGATGGCCCAACTCTTAACTAAATAATCTGTTTTCTCCTCCCAGGTTTGTAGTGCTCTCTTTTTCACGTAGTCCAGTTTTAACTATACTTCAAAGGTGTTGGGACAGGTAATGGTTGCTACAGGCTCTGTACCTGCTAGTATAACATTTGTTCTTGTTGTTTAGCTTCCAACAGGGCTCAGACTTACAAACTTCAAATGAAGCCGCTCCCAGGACTAGCCTGTAAGTTCCTCAGTGCATTTCTAGTGTTCTCCTCTGGACATGCAATATTGATGTTGTTTTTCTAGCCACATACTTAATGGATTTTCCAATTCCACCTCTTCTTTATATTGTGCCAACTACTGTCACAATTGTTTTCATGTGTTACATAAATTCACCTTTTTCTTCAGAGTCAATCATACTATTATAAAGAGGAAAAGTATCATTATTTTCATATTTTAAATTTCCTCTCTTTCCATTGCAATCATATAATACTACTTACCTAAACTTTCAACACTCTTGTGCCTTTTGCACTCAAAAACAATGGAGTGAGTGATGTCTGTCAGGCATCTCAAAGCTAAGCTCAAGCACCAGAGCCATGCAGTCGAGAGGGAATATTGCCCTGATGACCACCCTTAGGTGACTCTTACAGCCCAAATGTGTCTGTTGGTGTGGACATGTTGCTTAGGTTTTGCTCTGATGTGTATGTATGTAAGTACAATGGCAGATGAGTGTCCACATATGGAAACACTTTCTGACAGAGAACTGCCCAGCCATGGATGTGTTTGTTCATAAATGGTGAGCTCCTCTCTAAAGGCAGTTAAAACTCCATGGGGTGGGCTGCAGAGGGAGACCTGCACGGGTGGAAAGTTGGGCTGGATGATCTTTAAGCCCGTTCTGGCTTGAAATTGCTAAGATTCTAGGTCTTTGCTTAATGTTCCATTTCTCTTGAATTCCCTCCTGCCCTTTTCCCTAAGTCCTTGTTCTTCAAAAGTCAGCTGAGGCAGCTTCTTTCTTTCTCAGCGATCCTTCTCTGACATCTTTCTCTGTTTCCCCAAGATTGATAAGCTACCCTTTCCCACTAGAAAACACATACTACTAACTCACAGTACAAGTCACTTCTTTTAACAAAGAGTGATTTAAAATTTTTTTGCATTATAAAAGTTATATAAATGCATTGTAGAAAATATTTTAAAAAGAGTAGAATACTAATAATTAATATAATAATGATAGTAGCTTGCCCAGATACTGTATTATGATAATCCTTACAGCAACCTATTATGTAGGTGCTGGGGGCATTTCAGACGGGATTCAGGTTCAGAAAGGCTTGGGAAGAGAGTAGTAATAGAATGGAGAAACTAAGGCAAATGGTAAGGAGAGCAAGTTTGCTGAATGTAAACTACCTTTGCAATTTACCCAGACCGAGTCCTGAAAGGCAGAAAGAAAGAGAGAGGTTTAGCATTTACTTGGGAAACTTACTTGCATTTCTTAAAGGCCTTTGAAGTCCCTGTCCATAAAGGACTAAGATTGCAGTTGAATGCCAAAGCCAAAACAAAGAAATTACAAAAAACAACAATCTCTCCAACTTCCAATAAAGAAAAAAATAGTGTTGTTGTTGTTTAAGTCTTTGCTAAGCCTGGTGAATTTTTTTCAGTAATTGAATTATTTTGATATTTGTTCACCTCCTCTTTAGATTTGCCTGTCCCATCATAGGTGAAATGTGCAATGAATAGAAACAAGGATTGATTGCAAAACGTCTTAGTCAGTTGAAATTCTTGCTGACCTGGTCAAAGTTGTCTGTGAGTTTGGAAAAAGGAAGAGTGATGGAAAGAAGAGAAATCTGTAACTAAACCTTTTTTTTTTTTTTGATGTCTTGTAATCAGGCTTAAATCTGGAGGGTGCACCCACTTTCCCCATGCACATCCATCGTCTTTAATTCCCTCTTTAAAGATGAAGACCCTGCAACTCCGAGATGCGGGTTTCTTGCCTGATGTGGCTTCCTGAGTGGCTGGCAGAGCTGGATCCAGAATCTGAGGCTCCTCCAGCAGCCACTCCGGGTACTGTCCTCTCCTGTGAACTGCGGCGGCAGGCTAGGCGGCCCGTAATGATGTGTGCCTTACTAAGAACACATTCACCTTTTGATCTTCGTTTATTGTTTCTCCTAAACATACATAGACTTTCAACATGGTTCTTTTTGTTCTTTCCACCCCAGATGATGCAACAGATCTTGACATCTGTTATGCCTTTTGGAAGTGAATGCGATCCAATTTGCAAGGAAGTGTAAACATAGGTATTGTGCTACTTTCAGGCGGGGGTCACCCAGGAGTTATCTAGTCCCACTGCTCATGTTAGAGATAAGGCAACCGAAGTGCCAGATAAATCGGGCCACTTGCCCAGGGTCCCATGGACAGGTGAGTTAATACACAGCTGACTCTGAAACCCTGTTCCAGCACCAGGCTAGTGCCTTTTCCCCCTAATTGGACACAGTTTCAGCATCTCTGCATACAGTTCTCACTCTGAGGTGTGTCCATGTGGAAAAGTGAGTTGTAGATCTGGGAGGAGTGTTTTTGAGTGATTTAAATATCGGATCCTGGCATTCAATGAAGAACTAAGCTCAGCTGTCCAAACTAATAGCCTTCAGTGAACTAATTCCACGGAAGACTTCACAGTCCTCCATTTGGTATTGCGTGAGCTGTCACAGCTGTATTTCACACACCTTCCAAAACCCATCTGTTGTCTTCTGCCCAAACCAGAACACTGCTTAAGTTTCATGGTGGAATAGATTCAGCTGATCTTTAAAAAAATTTAGCCTCATATAATTTGACTCAACTTTGCTTCTCACTTCCTTTCATTTTCAAGCGTGTTCTCTCTCGTCTCTGTCCCTCTCTGTCTGTTTCTGCTTCCTGTACTCTGAGCAAAGAGACTTTCTCTGACCAGGTCTCCAGAAGAGCAGAAATGAGGCTCCTGAGCACTGCATTGGATACAGAGAGAAAACATTTGCAGAAAATGCTTGCACCCAAGAGTCCCCCCTCCCCCAAATTTGTATTCCAGAACTCTACCGAAAGAGGGGAATATGCCAGAGAGTGTGGAACATCTGCTCCAACATTGGTATTACTGAGATGACGGGGCTCCCTGGAGTAGGGGTGACGGGAGCCAGATGATGCTCCTGAGGAGATTTGCTGATTTAAAAAGTGGC